CACAATAACCAAAACGAATTAAACGTATGAAAGAATAAAGTAATTTAAAGAAAATACTATGAATGAATGCTATAAGGAAAACTAATAAATTCTTTGGCTTCTACTCGCTGTCTTCTTGGAGAACGGGCTCGGGAACCAAGTCCTCTTGATCTGAAATGGTTAAGTAAAGAATGAGCTACACTAGCCCAGTAAAGATATCACACTATCTCACTGTCACAGAAGTAAAGGTTGGTAGAAAACAAAAACGACCAATGGAGCATAATTTATAACAAACTCATTTATCAATAATAAAAACCTTTACTGTCCACTTACCTCAGTGAGATTCATGAAAACAACTTATGAGAAATAATAACATCATAGACATCATGCACACTCTGTAACATAACACATATCATACTTTTATATTTCAGTCATCATACAACAAATTTTCTCTTTTATCAGCCTACTAGTATCCATGGGGATCCATAGGGGGTCCCCGCTACACGTGAACCATTCACATTAATAACTTAATTCCAGGGCCGTCTCCATACCCCGTCCGGTATGGGCGCCAAAACCATAAACCTCAATACCCCATCCGGTATGAGGGTGAAACGGACCGTCCTTATACCCCATCCGGTATGGGCGCCAAAACACATAAAGTCTCCATACCCCGTCCGATATGAAAGACCACGTTCCCGGTAGGGTTCCCTATGGACCCGATCAGTCCACCATCTCCCAGGATATCTAGTCAGGCTGTCGACATTATCCATTTATCAATTCACATACATTTTTTTATTTTTTTCTTAATCTCAATTATTCAATCAAACATAAACACGTAAACCAGTAATGGACATCAAACAAGACAACACAATATCGAGTTCATAATAATTCAAACCATAATAAATGAGACCGTGATTCATGCATGTGAAATCATAGAATAAACACATCAGACACCATACTGCATTTAAAACTGTAAAATAAATCAAACAACAACTGACCGAAAAATACATTAGATTCAGGCTCCATTAGCAGTCTTAATTAATTATACATATCTATTAGTTCATAAAATATTGTTTTATCATTTATTAAGCTTTAATGCTGTGATAGGAAATAGGGTGAGGGATCCTTACTTATTTCGGAGTCTGAAATCAGGTTCTCACTGCGCCTACGGGCAGTCCCTAGATTCTCTGAATTTTTTTTCTGAAAACTGAAACACACTTTCGGTACCTGCACATGTCCCCAAAATACCCTAAATAAGACCCAGGGCCTTTTCGACCAATTTTAAAATTTTGGCACGGCGGTGATCCACCTCAGGTTGGGTGTTTCCGACCGTTTTCGGCCGTATTCGGCCAAACTTGCATTGGTTCCTGTGATAAAGCACCCCTAGGGCCCTCGGTGGGCCAAAAAATTCCAGAAAACCGAGACTTACCGGTGGCGAAGCTCTCGGGTGCGACGGCTCCTCTGACCCGAGTTGCGATTTGGTATTTTGCTCTGGTAAACCTGTAGAGAAAAGGACGGTGGTCACAGTGGTATAAAAATTACATCGAACGGGAATCGGGAAGGGCCTAATCGGAGGTAAAAATCGAGGAAACCCACGGCGACGCCGCTAGACTTCGGCGATATTTTTCGGCAAATTGGCCGGTGGTTTGGCTCTGATTTGGCCACAGGGAGGTTCAACATCAAAAAACGAGCCAAAGGGAGAAATTTTACCTCGTTTGGCGGCCGAAAAATCCTCCGGTGCAGCGGCGGGTGGCGGCAATCGGTTCCTCCGGTGGCTGGGTCGTCTTCTCCGGCGAGGGTTCTTGCGGTTAGGGTTTGGGGTTGGGTGTGGATGCGATTATTTATAACCTTCCCCTTTTAATTTGAGCCGTTCATCATAATTTAATCTGGGCTGTCCGATCGCGATTAAATTAGAAATGAATTTGGGCCGTCAATCGCGATGCGATCTGGGCCGTCCGATCGCGCGCACGCGGATCACCCACGTGTCTCCGTCCCGCGTGGCTTCCCGCGTCAGCATCCCTGTCACGCGGCGTGTCCTGGTTGGCCGGGGCTGCTGACGTGACATTATTTTTTTAAATTACGTTTTGACCCCTTATTTTTTATTTTCTTTTCAAAAACACCCCCAAAATCTAAATTTTCATCCCTTTTTTTCAAAATCAATTTCAATTAAATCTCAAAAATAATTTTACCCTATATTATTATTATTATTATTATTATTTTTATTTTTATTTCTATTAAATTAAATTAAATTAAATTAAAACCTTATAAATTAATTATTAAAATAGAATAAAAAATAAAAATAAAATAAAAATTTTGGGTGTTACAACTTGCATATATGAAAATAACGGCCAGTCTAAATCAAACAGTGCAAAGGGAAAATATCTTCAAACTTTCAATCAAACTAATAGACAATCACATGGTTATCGAGATTAGTTGTAACGTGTATTTGATGTCAAAATCTTAGAATTTATACTTTGAAACTATATTTAGTAAATGAAACTAATTATGAATCATAAATGAATTTAAGTTTGAGTAATACTTCTCAATTAAGTTTCAATAATTCATTTACTTACATTGATGCTTCTCCTTCCATTTGGAAAATAAGTTTATATTCATGTTTCAACAATTCTTTATAATACTAATACAAAATTTCTTCATTTTTGTATTTATAAACAGTTTTACTTTGCCTAATATAACAATACATTTTGGTTAATGTATTACACACACACACACACACACATACATATATATGGATACAATAAAATACAAAAGGATAAATCAACCCACCATGTTGAATTATACATTATTACACTTGATGAGATACTAATGATCCATAATCTCTATCAAGAATTAATCAAAATAAAGATGCACACATTGGGCCATAGAAGCAAGGGCATTAGCATAGGTGTTGCCTTCTCTATAGGCATGAGAAAGTTGAAGCTCCTAGTTAATACGAGGAAGACATTAAATCTTCATCTTTATAGTATTACTTAACCAAGAACTCTTAATAAAGGAAAAAAAAGAGATTGTAAAAGTGCAATGAATCAACCTTAATGATTAATCTCAAAATGTCATGAGTTACAACAAGCTGGAGTGCCATCGAAGAGGCTCAAGATATCAATAATATTTAATTAATTAACATTAAAGTTCGTCGTAAAGCTCAAAATCCAATTTCCTTAATGGTCACGGATTAAACCATCCTTAGTAACCATCATGAGAAAACCTCTCTCAGAACTATCCGTATTAAACTTGATCTACCCTTCTGGAGGGGCATGCTAACCAACCCAGGGATATTTGTTTAGACCCCTAGGATGAAAGAGGGTCCCGGATAGATGCAGATGTCTTGGAATGCCAAGACAATGCATATAATATTATGGCTAATTAGTGGGATATCACCACCAACATTCTTCATGAATAAGGTCATTCCTTCTTTTCCGTATAAGCAAGGTAGTCACGAAAAATATGATCTTCTAGCTGATAATGCCATGGGAACTGATGTTAATCGTGCAGATTCCAACTAATCAATCTGGTAAAAGGAAATGAAAAAAAATTCTATAAATTAACTTACACAAATCAAAGTAGACCATACATGTTTCACAAATTGGTAGTCTTTTAGGATGTGAAGAGTGTAGTCTGCTTATTCTTCTGGCAACATATACACAAGGCTTCTATTATGAGGTGATGTCTTCTGCACTCAATGTTCGTCAATGTCATTTGAGACACCTCAAGCCATATAAAATGTTGAACACATTGGGGCATTAGGAGTTTCCAAATGTCTTTCTAAATGCGATAGAGCTCGTTCCGAGTACTAATAGATAGATAACAATATGCTAACTTAATAAAGAACTATTTATTGAAAGAACAGGACCAAACATGATTATCACTTTCTATGCGATGATAATGTTGTCCATAATTGCTTCCTTTATATAAAACTAGCTTGGTTGTGACCAATTAAAGCATCCAAGTGGTTTTTTATTTTAGTTTAGATCATATATTTATATATCAATATATTAAAATATATTAAAATTTAATATTGAAAAATGATCTAATTGTTAATAAAAATTCTAAAATATCTTTTAACATCCTAAACAGTGTAATATAAAAAATATAAGCCAATAATGATAATATTTTAAACTCTAAACGAAAGATTTGTATGGTCAAATTTATGAGTATTTCAATGACAATGTTGTAAATGGCATTGCAAAGGCAAATAAGCCGAGAGTCATTAAAATTCTTAGCTTAGGCTTTTTGGGTGTTAGAGTGATTAAGGTATCATTTGTTTGGTTAACTTTTAGTTATCCCTCAAACACTCATTTGACAAATCTTTTGACACTCGGATGAATCGTGTTTTAGTGTTTCTGGAAAAAAGTTGCATGATCTAACGACCCGAAAAATCCAAAAAGAAATAGATAATAACTTAAGTGCGGAAGCGAAATAAAATATTAAGATTTAATCCCTTGCACAATAACTTAAAAGTACTAAATAGTATTATGGAATTCATTCTTTAAAAAAAACATAGAAAATAAGAAAATAAACAGAAAATAGAAAATATCTAGCATCTACTCGCAATCTTATTGCAGATC